CATAAGAACACAATGGCAACCATGTCAGACCACCAGAAAGCCATAGTAACTACAACAGAACAACCACAGCAACCACATCAGAACACCAGAAAACCATAGCAACAACAGAAAACTATAGCAACATCAGAACACCAGAAAACCATAACAACATCAAAACACCAGAAAGCCATAGTAACTACAACAGAACACCACAGCAACCACATCAGAACACCAGAAAACTATAACAACATCAGAACACCAGAAAACCATAGCAACAACAGAAAACCATAGCAATGTGTTAGAAATGTTAGAAAACGTCTCGGGTTACGCATGTAACCATGGTTCCCCGAGAGGGAACAAGATGCCATATTGGGGAATATCTAAAAGAGCATTAAGATATCTTTAATACTTCTTGAGTAACAGGCATGCAAACATTGGAGAGAAAAAAAAAACTTGAAAAGTGCTCTTTCTCCATTTTTGAATGGTCACCATTGGCACATAATGCAACAAAGATAGCTAAAGTCAACATATTTTACTAACAGACCTACTAAGCTCTGTGTAAAAATAACATTGTGATGCTGCCATCTTTCTTAAGACATTTTTAACCCCCTGCAATTTGGCTCTGAATCTCAGGTGAAAACTTCTCGAGTTACACATGTATCCATGGTTCCGTGAGAGAGAACGAGATGCTAGGGGGCACATTGAAATCCAAAATCCAACCATGCCGAGCCGAGGCGCATGCCTGTCCACATGGTGGGGGAGCACCAAGGAAACATACACCACACGGGCCGCTCACACAACTTGGTAGAAATGGGGAACCCAATTAGATGAAGAGGAACATCCTACCCAAGTTAAGAGCACAGCTATCCTCAGATAGCTATGTCCTAAAGGTCTTATGAAGGCTTTTAGACCAGAATAACCATACACAGCTAGCCTAGATAGTCAGGCAAAACCTTCCTGCAAAGCTGCCTAGACCACAGAGAGTGGGCTATCTACTTATAACCCTAGCAGGGGAGATAGCACTGTCTAGGCAACAAGGGCTCAAGGAGACCACTACTTCAAACCCTAAGCAGGGGAGCAATCACTGAGCTAGCACATAGTTACCCACAGATAGCTAGAATATAACCACCCTCAGATGGCTATACTAAGGAGGCCCCCAATCCGGGCCATCAGTAAATGATTCGCTAAGAGCGAACACTTAAACATCATCAGTCCGAAATCAAAGCCTGATGTAAGCTGTGGCCAAAAACACTAGAGGGCTGGACACAGCTATCCTCGAATAGCAGTTCCCTCATATAAGGCTGAAGACAGGACAAAGACTTCGGCACTTACTTGAAAGAGCTTGTGCCAAGGGGAACCCATGCCAGGCTAGATCATAGCTGCCCTCAGACCTATGCTCAGCTTGAGCTGGAGCATAACCATCTGCAGACAGCTATACTTAAAACCCTGAAGAGGGGGAGCAGTGTACTCAGCCCAAACCCACTAGAAGGGATTCAGAGGGACCGCCCACTTAAAAATACCCAGAAGCCTGGGGAGGCAGCCCACTCCTAAACCCATCTGGCTTAGGAGTAGGAACATTCCCCATAACCACTCTAGGTGCTGAAAACACTCTGGGAAAGAAACGCTTCATCCTGCATCCCTCGGGAATAGGAGCAATCACGAGCGCAGCCTAGACATCATGACTCACACACAATGAGTGCGTAACTCTGAACGCGTGTGCTCTTCGTCGAGACAAACGCGAAAGCAGAATATGCCCTCAAGTGTTAGAATCAAAACACGGAGGCACACATTCCCTCAGGCGCTGCTCGACTCAGGCGCTATACACGGGATCGATAACCCAAAAGAACATCTTAACCCCGCGAGTCCCGCGATCCAAGGCTTCACCATGCCTCGGCAGTAGCAGGACCCGAACTGTGAGACACAAACGCTTGCTACTCATCACTCGAGAAGAGGGACAAACGCGAACGGAGCTTCTCATTGGAGACACTCACAATGAGCGTGTTCGGAGACCTCGAGCACCGAACGCCAAGCTCCTGACCAAGACACACAACGCATAGATTGTGTGTCCTAAGCCGCGAATCCCGCGATCCGAGTCCTCACCGTGCCTCGGCAACAGCGGGACCCGAACCGCGAGATGCAAACGCTTGTCACTCATCACCCGAGAACGCATAGATCCTGTGTGTCCTCAAGTGTCAGAAACCTCGGGCATGGAGGCACACACTCTCTACAACGCTCACCCGCCTTGGTCTATCACACGCACTTCAAACAGATGGCTCCTGAAGACAGCAAAGAGGATGACATATTCAGCAGGTGCCCTTTTATACTTCCTATGACGTCATGGGTCAGGTGGACCAATAGATTGACGTTGTTTCACACGTGCTTCAGACACCGGTCATGCAGGCTGCATTCCCCAATGTACACCGTAGGGGGCATAGCGTGGAGTTCTCTAGAAGTGTAATTGCCATTTTGACCCCCCTCTACAAAATAGTGGATTACTTAGTAAATATTCATCCCTGAAATTTAATATTTGGGCTATCATCACTATGCATGTTTATCTTTCTTCAGAAAAAATATTAGCAAAATCAAAAATTTGAGCCGGGGAAATTTCTGAAATTTGTTTGATTTGACACGGAATGACCCTGTTATCTTTTTTACTGTTACTTTAATAAATTGCCATGGCAGCACCGGTCAAGATATCCAAATTCCGCTCGCAATTTAGCATCGTCAGTATCTTGGCATCATGTTGACAAAGTTTGGTGTGAATTGCTTGATTTCCTTGGAAGAAATATTCAAAATTCCACAGCCTGATTTTTCCAAAAATCCACATTCAAACCAAAATAACCGATTTCCTGTTGGTCGTAGCTAATGGCTGTAAATTAGAAAGTTGTCCGGCCTTATGAGAATAATATATGTACAGATTTTGGTGACAGTAGCAAAAACTAACCCCCCAACTTTTGTCAAAAGGTGTCACTATAGAGCGCCTGCTCCATGCCCGTTTATGAGCTTTTGCCAGTGTCTAACTATCATCAATACTGATGTGTGTGTTGAGTTTCATGAAATTCTAAGCATGTTAAGTGCCTCAAAATCACTGGAAAAGAATATTCAAGTTTGACAGGTTGCCATGGCAACAGTATTTTAGATATCAAGAATCCCTTCACAGTTTTACATCAGCTGTGTTTTGACATTATTTTGACAAATATAAGTTTGAAGCAAATCAAATAAAAATAAGAGGCTGATTTCAAAGCATTTTGAAAATGACACACTTCCTGCTGCCAGTTGGTGGCGCTATAACTTTGACTCCTAAAAGTCACATCTATGTGATCAGCATCACAGAACGAACAATCTGCTGAAGTTTCATCAAAATCAGACAATGTGTGCAACAGTTATTAGACACTTCCTGTTTTTCATTTCTCGCCATAAATTTGTCTCTTCACCATGGCCAAACCGTTCGAGATATCAAAAATCCCTTGGCAATTTAGCATTCCCAATGTCTTGAGGTCATGCTGACCGAGTTTGGTGGAAATCTTACGAGAAGTATATCAAATTCCAGAGCATGCACTTTTTACACAGCCCTGAATAGCCATATATATATTTTACGTGTTTTATAGTACAGTAACCTCTTAAATATAAAACAATCAGGGAAAATGGATTTCTCAGTTGAGCTCTTAATTACCATGCAAAACGAAATAAGAGCTTATTTTTTGTCACCCAGTAAACTTAAATGTTTAAAAAAACATGCTATATAGACAAACATGTTTGTTCATATCTGTGCATTCAGGCATATTCAAGATCCAGCCAGTCAGAGATTGACATGGAACAAGCCACCCAAAAGTGTCCTTATTATAAAGAAAATCAGAGACACCAGTCTGCTACAGCCTTTCAAAGAACTCTGCATTTTTCTGACACAGGTGAGCTCACCACAAAATATTACACAAGAACAAAGAAATGCAGATGTGGTCATTAAGAATGTGTGTCAAAGGTAAAATGATCCGAAGATCAGGACCACCTGGCATGCTTTGGCACAGGAATGTTTATTCTTAGTCATGTCATGTACTGAAGCTGATGATCTATTGGTCAGCAAATGTGTAAACCTCAGAACTGTAAACCTGTAAACCTTGCATTTCAACAAACATCAGGGTACATTAAATGTTGGCAAACTATATTAAGTTCATTATTTGGTATACTGTACAAATGCCAAATTCAGTCAGTAATGGTATTTTTACATGTGTAAATTGATAGATCAATGTAGTGCTTAGATTTATTATTTGCTCCACTTTTGTAATGAGTTGTTATCTTGTCAGATTTACACTGCTCCCAGTTTAGTTTTTTGTCTTTGTTCTTTTCTTACCATGGTTTTTTTATTTGCCCTCATGTGTCACACCTGTGTTTAGTTAATTAACTTGTTTAGTCTCTTGTATTTCTCTCTTTATATATAGCCCTCTTTTGAGTTGTTCTTGGTCCAATATTGTTTTTACAAAGTGGTTGTTGAAGACTCGTTAGCACCCACAGACAGTGGTGGAAAGAGTACTGAAAATTTGTACTTAAGTACAAGTACTGCTACATTGATGAAATAATACTCAATTACAAGTAAAAGTACTGGTGCTAAAACAGTACTTAAGTTGAAAGTACAAAGTACTCTTCTCAAAAACTACTCCGAGTACTAGTTACTAGTTACTTTTTAGTCAGCGATATTTAATGAATCACCAATAAATATTATATAAGATCTATGTAGAAAATAGCTACTTTCAACAAAACACACTTTTATCTTATTGAAGTACATTTGTGAATTAGTGATCCCGATACTGGAATTTCTAACTTAAATACAATACCTTGAAAAATATCAATATAAAAGCCAATATGAACCGGAAGTTGCAACTGACTTCAGTGTTGTGACATATTTCAAAGTGAAATGGAATAATTTTATTTTGGCTTTTATTTACATACAAAGATTGAGCAATTACCATTACAATAATCTCAAATAAATGTTTGCTTATTCTGTGCATTTGTGTCTTTACAATAGAGTAACGTTTTTGCAATAGCTTACAGCACAATGGAGGCTTGATTTCAAACTGAATTGAATTTACAAAAACGACAACAGTCAGAGTAAACAGTCAGTAATAAAACAGTAAATAAAACAAATGACCTCAATTCAGTTGAGGTATTTAAAATATGACACTGAATTTTTGTATGCAGTGTTTTAAGAGCCATATAAATGGAACATCAGATGGCTTTGACCTGTAATGTCTGTACAATGTAGTGATGCAGTTAGACTAGGATATTTATATGAACAAATCATATAAATACCCCATTCCGAAACATTTACTGTACAGTGCATCCGGAAAGTATTCACAGTGCTTCACTTTTTCCACATTTTGTTATGTTACAGCCTTATTCCAAAAGGGATTAAATTCATTATTTTCCTCAAAATTCTACAAACAATACCCCACAATGACAACGTGAAAGAAGTTTATTTGAAATCTTTGCAAATGTATTAACTATAAAAAACAGGGGGGGGGAAATCACATGTACATAAGTACTCACAGCCTTTGCCATGACACTCAAAATTGAGCTCAGGTGCATCCTGTTTCTACTGATCATCCTTGAGATGTTTCTACAACTTGATTGGAGGTAAATTCAGTTGATTGGACATGATTTGGAAAGGCACACACCTGTCTATATAAAGTCCCAGAGTTAACAGTGCATGTCAGAGCACAAACCAAGTCATGAAGTCCAAGGAATTGTCTGTAGACCTCAGAGACAGGATTGTATCGAGGCACAGATCTTGGGAAGGATACAGAATAATTTCTGCAGCATTGAAGGTCCCAATGAGCACAGTGGCCTCCATCATCTGTAAATGGAAGAAGTTTGGAACCACCAGGACTCTTCCTAGAGTGGGCCGCCCGGCCAAACTGAGCGATCCAAGGAGAATTAGGGCCTTAGTCAGGGAGGTGACCAAGAACCCAATGGTCACTCTGACAGAGCTCCAGCATTTCTCTGTGGAGAGAGGAGAACCTTCCAGAAAAAAAAACTATCTCTGCAGCACTCCACCAATCAGGCCTGTATGGTAGAGTGGCCAGACGGAAGCCACTCCTCAGTAAAAGGCGCATGACAACCCTCCTATCTTGCCAAAAGGCACCTGAAGGATGCTCAGACTTGATGAAACAAAGATTGAGCTCTTTGGCCTGAATGGCAAGCGTCATGTCTGGAGGAAACCAGGCACCGCTCATCACCTGGCCAATACCATCCCTACAGTGAAGCATGGTGGTGGCAGCATCATGCTGTGGGATGTTTTTCAACAGCAGGGACTGGGAGACTAGTCAGGATCAAGGGAAAGATGAATGCAGCAATGTACAGAGACATCCTTGATGAAAACCTGCTCCGTTTCATCTTCCAAGAGGACAATGACCCTAAGCACACAGCCAAGATAACAAAGGAGTGGCTATGGGACAACTCTGTGAATGTCCTTAAGTGGCCCATGCCAGAGCCCAGACTTGAACCTTATTGAACATCTCTGGAGAGATCTGAAAATGACAGGTTGGATAGGACACTCCCCATCCAACCTGATGGAGCTTGAGAGGTCCTGCAAAGAAGAATGGGAGAAACTGCCCAAAAATAGTTGTGCCAAGCTTGTAGCATACTCAAAAAGACTTGAGGCTGTAATTGGTGCCAAATAGGGTTGGGTATCGTTTGAATTTGATCAATTCCAATTCTGCTTATCTATTCCGATTCTTTTCGATTCCCAGTTTCATTCCAATGTGTTTAAATAATGATATCAAGCATTTATCCTGTGTCTCTTTTTTGCAAACCATTTATTGGAGCTGAATACCATGAACAAAAATCAACAGGCTACATAAAAACTGGACTCTTTAAGAGCTGTTTGTGTGCAAAAATAGAACTGCATGATTCTGGATAAATGTAGGGGTTTTTTTTCGTTTTTTTTCCCCAATGGAAGTTCTCTCATGATTCTGAAGAAAAAACATTAGACAACTAAACAAAATCACATGTAATTTATGAATAATTGATTCAATGAATCACTCAAGATGTACTTGTTTCATTACTGGATGAATCAGCGTTCTTGAACGAATCTCTTGTATGATTCAAAGACGAATACATTTTAACAGCCCCTTTTCGCCACCTACTGGCGTAACAATGTAATCGACAAATCTTCATTTGAAGTGTCAAATTACTTTCAAAAGGTGATTTACTCTATTTTAACCACTACCTTACGCATCGTACACACAGTTTATATCTGAATTATAAACTTTTATCCCAGTACTTCTGTGATTTGAATGTTTGTAAC